ATCCTGCTTCCTTTTGTGGACTCTGATGGTCTGTTGTTTCCAAGACATCGTGGCATTGTTGTATTTAGATCTCTGTTAACTGTTTGTGAAGGGCAGCCAAGGGTGATTCAGGCTCTTCTTGTTGGTTTTTTATCCTTGGCCTTTTCAGTCTTGCAGGTCCCGAGTGTCCTTGTGGTTGCTGGAAAGCAGAACGTGTTGTTAAGCCCCAGGAATCTGTCACAGTGCTGTCCATTTACATATCCAAATTAGTGAAGCTGCTGTTTAAACCTTCAAAATGGCGGCACCCTCCGGACCAGCAAAAGTCCACAGTTCAACCAACCTTTATCTTCAGCTCCTCCGTTTGTTCCCCAGCCACCATGCACAGTCCTCTGTGCATTCCCTGGCTAGGAGAGTGATTTTTAGGTTAATTCTTAGGTTGTACCACCACTTGGGTATGTCCAAGCTGTCTGTGCTGTCAGGATTGCTCAGGATCGCTGGCAGAGCGCAGCTCCGTATATCTCCTTTTTTTGGTATTTTCACGCAAATTCTTCTGCTAGTTGGTGTTTAGTCTACTTCTGTATCCTTCTCTTCAAGGCTCCGGAGTTGAAGATTATCTTCTGTGCATGTGTTAATTGGTTTCCTTTTTTTTGTTGAAGAGGGTCTGTGTAGTCTTTCTTTCTAATCCGCCATCTTGTCAGGGACCCTGAAGATAATCTTATATATGTACTTGTGCTACAAAATTAGCCAGATACATTACAGAAGAAACAGAAGACAGGGTTGGAGTAACTTTGCAGAGACAACCAAACATCTTGTGAGAGAGAATCACCAGGCCTGTGGATTTGGGACCATGGTCTCAACTGGGGACATCATGCTCATTTGGCTCACATAGTTCATAAAATATTTGTTCTACAACCTACTTTGGTGAGTAGCAACTGGGGTCTTAAAAACTTGCGAGTGGCAATCTGAGATGCAACTTTTGGTCTCGTCTTGTCTGTAGCAAAGAAGAGTGAAGTAAATCAAAGTCATCTTGAAACAATTAATCCAAAGGTAAGATAGACCATGAGGACCTCATCCTCTGGGACCCTGAAACCAGAATAACTGGTACCTGACTACCAATGCTAATCTCTTGGAAAGGGATCAAATCTGGAGTTCCAGGGTAGAGTGGGACAAAAAAAATGTGCAACAAAATTAAAAAACACAAAAATGACCAGAATTACTGGTTGGAAAGAGACTGATGTGGTCTTGGGTTACCCTTTGGGCCCAGAAATGGATTGGCTCTCAGCGCAACAGTAGAAGACCTATATACAGAACACCTAACCCAGGTCATTGCACCTACCTACTCCAGGGAGATGCACCCCTTAGATCAATCAGCCATGAGACACCAGAGGGATAGCACTCACTTAGAGGAAAAGCTAGACAGACAGGAATGCATGGATAAGAAGGGAACATGGAGGGGGGTGGTCACACGGAGAGGAGAGGAGAGGAGAGGAGAGGAGAAGAGAGGAGAGGAGAAGAGAGGAGAGGAGGGTTTTTAAGGTTGGGGGTGATAATTGGGGCCATGAAATCAGATGTGCGTGAACTTTTGAATGTAAAACAAGTTTGCTTTGTACATTTGCACCCAATGCACAATTAAAAAAAAAAAAAGTTAGTATGATTTCTGGATGCCTGAACTCATCTCTCTAGGATCTTTGCTGCTATGAACCCATAGAGAATGGGTTCAGTTCACTTATTTTTCATGAAATGATATCTTTTAGGTTAATTTAGTTTACCTATAACTGTATTTAGAACATGGGAGAGTAGAGGTTCTGAGGGTTTAGGATAATTTAATCCATATCTTTCATAACAGAAATTAAAGAATTGATAATTTACAAACTAAAGAAATATTAGAAGTATGTTATTTAGAAATAATTATAAGAAGAAAGAGAAAAGAGAATTAAAAGTGGTTACCTTTGTGAGGCAGAGTTAAGAGGTAGAGCAAATGAATTCTAATTTTGTTACCTTTAGTACCAAATGCATTTATTATATATTGTTCTTATATTTTAAAAGTATATATGGCTTACCTATATACTGTTGAAGGAAGTAATTCATTTATTCAATTGTGGTTTATTTTGATCCTACCAAAATCATAATAACTTCACTAATAAATTTGAAAGGACTGTTAGAGATCATATTATTTAACTTCCATTGATGTATGTTTGGCAAAAAAATATTGATTAGCCTGACAAACATGTACAGGAAACTTAAATAACTTATGATAGCAAGAAATTGTAAGCAGCATACTTACCCAAGAGTAGGTGGATTAACTGGTAAATAATGAGAGTTCAATTACTCTGAAGCCACAAAAAGGCCATATTCTTTAAGACTTATTTATTGATATTGAAATATGTTCGTGAAATATTGCTCAATGATAAAAGTAACATAAAGAACAATATGTATCATACAATAGTTTTGTAAATAAAGTACATACATTTAAGTATGAATATATAGAGTATTATATACATAGCTGCATATGAGAAAAATGCTTTAAATAGAAATATCAAATTAATAGCAGTCTTTTTGAGATACTTATTTTTTCCTATTGCTTTTCTATATTTTCAAAATTTTCTGTGTTGAAGAACAAGTACGTCAGTAATTTAAAGCAAAACAAACAAACAAAAACAATAAAAAGGACATTGATAATGCCATGTCAGTACAAGTTGAATTTTTCTTTTTAATAAAGACTGGATGTTCATTTTCACTGCTCTCACCATTTTCCTCTTTCAACTTTAGTTTCTTCATCATTTTTAATTCCCTTTTGAGATTCTGCCAGTGAATTTTTCTTTAGTAAATTACCACTTTGCTATTGATGTGAATGAAAATAGCCTGCCTTCCCAGTGCTAATTTGTTTTGCATTATTGGAAATGTGTTCTTCAACTACATTATAGCAAATTAATAAAAATCAAAAGAAATGAAAAAAATATACCTAATTTTCTGCTATTCCAGCTAATTTACTTTTGTTTATGCACACACATTTTCTTTCCTATCCCTTAAATGTATAATTTGTAATTTAAATGGATATAATTTTGGATTTTCTCTTCATTGCTGGTTCAACATCCTCATTAGTTTCTGTCTGTACTAATTTTGTACCTTCTCAACGGGTCTCTCTGCTTCTGATCTCAAAGTAAAAGTCACTGTTCTTTCAGTGGTCTGTAAAGCCCACAGACCCCTCCTTCACATCTTTTTTCCCCCAGTTATCTGCATGGTTAGTTCTCTCAGGTCCTTCAAACCTTTATTTAAACACTCAAGTTCCAGGCCTTCAAATTCTTCTGTGAGGCTTTCTTTGTTCATCCTATTTAAAATTGCATCCCTCACACCATGCTACTTATTCCTCTTCCATGCTTTTATTTTTCTCTATAGCATTTCTCACTGTCTACAATGCAATATATTTCACTGACTTATTTCATTTATAGAATAAAGCTGCATGTGGTAAGGGACTTTTATCTTGTTCACTGCTCTATTCTCTGAGGTTAGAAGCAGTGCTTGTCACTTGATAGGCACTTAATGTTTGTTCTCCTAATCCATCTTTCACATTGCTGCCAGATAAAAGCAACCTATAGAGCAATGTATATCATACAATATTTTTGTAAGTAAAGTATATGTATTTAAGTATGAACCTATATAAAATATTTATGTACCTATCTGTGTTTGAGAAAAAGATTTTAAATAAAAATATCAAACTAATGGTAGTCATTTTGAGGAACTTTTTTTATTTTCCTGGTGCTTTTCTATATTATCCTTCTAAAACTCCAGTGGGAAAACTAATTATATGATAGTTTTCTGTCACTTCATCATTTGACCTTTATATATAGTTCTGCTATTTACTTTGCCACTGCCCAAGTACCCTAAACACACACAAACAAACACACACTACACACCTTCTTTAGTTGTGTTTTTATTGTTCTTTTTGGGTGTGCAAGTGTAAGGAGTTCTGGTAGCATAGTGCCTAAGGCATTTGACTGCTAACAAGAAGGTTCGTGGTTCAAACCCACCAGCCACTACTTGGAAGGAAGATTGGGCAATCTATTTTCATAGAGATTATGCCTCAGAAACCCAAGGAGGGATCACTATGAGTGGTATTGACTCAGTGGCAGTGAGTTTTTCTTTTCTTTTCTTTTTTTTTGTATATTTTGCTTTGGTCTGGAAGGCACTCCTTTCTAATTCTTTCTCTCTGACTCTTACTCATCTTTCACATATTACTCAGGCTTCCCTGATCTGTTCTGCCAAGTGTGGTTTTCCTCTTTTGAATCCACTTGCAACTATATTATAGGAATCAGAATGCACTGAAAATTAGTGTTTCCTTATTTGCATCTCTCCTTCCAAATTTAGCTTTGTTTTATTTTTGTGTCCACTGTGCCTAGAACTAAGTGCTTAATATGGAATGAATTGATGAATTACAACATTTTTCATGTTGTCTGGAGTACTAATTTTAATAGGGTAAATCTTATATAAAGTTTTGATTTTTACTCTGTAGACGCTTAAAAGATATTTTAAGACTCAATTCCTATGAACACACTTTATTATTCTCCATTACATCTTGGATTGGCAGAAACTATTTAATTTGCAGACCTTTTAATGTTATGTTGCTATGTTTTGTGGATGCCTTGGATTACGAATTACTAGATTTATAGGCAAAAGTAAGGAAATCATCCTTCCAAAATAATATTATTCATAGTAATTGTGTACCACTTTTAATAATTCAAGGTGAAATTAATTAAACTATTACTATTTTGATGAATAATATTCAGTATTCATAAATTCAGGCGCTCTGGTGGTACAGTGGGTAAGGCATTTGACTATAAAGAAGTTCAGTTGTACAAACCCACCAAGTGCTCTGCAGAAGGAAGGTGAGACAGTCTACTTCCATTAAGATTTACAGCCTTGGAAACTCTGTGGTGGTCACTATGAGTGGGAATTGACTCAATGTCAGTGGACTTTTAGTTTATTCATAAATTAATAAAAATTTTTTTTTACTTATTTTATAGGGAAGTCTTAAGAGTAGCCACCAAATCTCACCTCAGGAGTTCATCTATGAACTGAAAATGGGATCTGCAGATGAAAGACTTGTCACATGCCTGGAGTCCCTCCGTGTGTCTTTGACCAGTAACCCTGTCAGGTAATTCACCTATTCGAACACAATCAGGGTATGTTACTGAATTTAACAGAGGTCACCTGTCTGTCCTTTTTATTTAATACTTCATTCATGCCACCTTTAAATAAAAAATGGTATATGTCAAAAACTTCTCAATGTAAAAATTGAAAACATAGTATTTATATGCATGAAGAAATATAATCTCAATAGTAATTTCTTAAAAATTTATTCTTAGATAGTACATAGCTTCTGGAATTTTAAAAAGTTTTAATTTTTCTTAGAACTTTGAAAACTTAAGATGTATTTTAAAAGAGAACAGTCATGATCAGAAGCTATCAATGTAATGTGGTTGAGTTTCACTCTGAATTTTGGAATTGTATAAATTTTTTTCTGATTCTTGCTTGACAGAGCAAGAAATGCCATTAATTAATTTTTAGAAATGGTACCTTTGTAGGAGCCTATAGATTAGTGTCGCCAGATTTAGCAAATGGAAATACAAGATGCCCAGGAAAATATGAATTCCAGATACACCAAAGAATTTTTTGTTATTTATCTGAAACCCAAATTTAACTGGCCATCCTGTATTTTATCTGGCAATACTACTATTGAATATTTCTATAAATCAGTTTTTAGGCTTTTGGAATGGGGTTATATTGGGGTGCCTCTGAGAAATTGTGCAAGATATTTAAAAATTAATGTAAATGTATTTTGAGAAACTGAACATATTTAAACTTTTCAGATTATTGCATGGTAGGAGACTGACATTAAAAAATCCTAACAAGATGTGCCTGAAGTACATCATGTATGTTAATTGTAGCACCACTGATTGAGTGTGAATATATTCAGAGCCTATATAAAAACAAAACTCACTGCCTTCGAGTCGGATCCGACTCATAGTGACCCTTCCTTGGGTTTCTGAGGCAGTATGACTATGGAAGTAGTTTGCCCCATCTTCCTTCCAAGGAGTGGCTGGTGGGTTTGAACTGCCAGCCTTCTGGTTAGCAGTCAAATACCTTAGGCACTATGCCTTCAGAGTTCCCAGAGGCTATATTAGGGAGGTAGCTAATCGGAGTTCTCTGGAAAAAATCAGTCTAGAAGTTGTTGTTATGACATGTCTGAGCAATAATAGAATCAGATTATTTTGGAACTGTAAGAGACAAAGGTAGATTACTTTTGGCTTTTAATTGAATAATAAATGAATGTTTATACTTAATAATATGCATAAATGTGTATAAGTATATATTCATTGGTTTAGAATGTCATCCTGTAATTGAAGGTTAGTGATATTAAAGTGATCTCTTTGACTTCTCTCAGATTAATTATTTTTTTAGAATGTTTTTGAAGTTTGGCTAGTATGAAAAAATCCTTGAAAGTACAAGAACTTTTTTTTTTAAAGTTCTGATCTACTGAAACATGAAAATGAGTGAGGTTTAACTAAGATATATATATGGAGCTCTGGTAGTGTAGGTAATTTACTGGTATTAAATTGAGTTAATCAATATTTTTTATAACTAAGGCTTATATGGGAGCTCTGGTAGCATTGTGCCTAAGGCACTTGACTGCTAACCAGAAGGCTGGCGGTTCAAACCCACCAGCTACTCTTCGGAAGGGAGGTTGGGCAATCTACTCCCGCGGTGATACCGCCTGGGAAACCCAAGGAGGGGTTGCTTTGGGTCAGGTCTGGCACAATGGTACATAACAACAACAACAACTATATATATATATATATGTATGTTATATATATTTTTTTTGTGTTTTGTATGTTCAGTAGACTTTAAACTAGTGGTAGGACATGAAACCAGGGATTTCACAAATCTTATTTACCTCTCGTTAGCAGACACAGTGAAAGCCATAGAAAGTATTCAGTAAAATTAGTAAAATGAGCAATCTTGAGGTTTTAATTTTATCCTTCCTGAGTCTGCTTTGGCTATTGTTAGAAGCTATGATTAGACTACAGAATGTATAATTACTTATTTGCCAGTTATAGATGAACAGCTTTGGGTTCCACTTTAATTTATACCAGTAAAAACTGTTGTGTTGTTATGTGCCATTGAGTAGGACCCGAATCATAGCGACCCCTCCTTAGGTATCTGAGGTGGTATCACTACGGAAGTAGATTGCCCAACCTTCCTTCTGAGGAGTGGCTGGTGGGTTTGAACCACCAGCCTTCTGGTTAGCAGTCAAGTGCCTTAGGCACTATGCTACCAGAGCTAGCTACTATTGCTATTTTCCAAGTGATATCTTAGGTGTATAAGGCAGCTCTGGTTGCACAGTGAAAGCATTTGGCTGCTAACCAAAAGGTTGGCATTTTGCATTTACCAGCCACTCTATAGGAGAAAGAGGAGGCAGTTTGCTGTTGTAAAGATTTCCAGCCTTGGAAACCTTACACGGCAGTTCTACTCTGTTTTGAAGGGCCACTACGAGTCAGAATTGACTCAATGACAGTGGGGTTGGTTTGTCTTTTTGATCATCGCTGTGTGGCTGGAGTAAATAGTAAAGCAGATCCAGGCCTCATTTCTGTGGAGTTTAAATGTAGGAAGAGTGTATATAGGTGTGAAATGGGGAAGCAGTTCAAACTCATTTCTCAGGTTATCTGGCAGACACTGGCCACTGGAAATGCCGTTTATTGTTTTTCGGCATAATTTGACGTAGTCCCTTTCTTTACCTTTTCTTCTTCATGTTTCAGTAGATGAATGTGATAGCAAAAGAAAACAGCATTAACATTATGTTAACTATGAAGGTATTGATTTTACAATGGATAGGATTATTTATTGTGATGTTCCCTAAAAACACTGGGAAATGATATATGTGTTCTTCATATGAAATAAAGAAAATTGAGATGATACTATGGAATATTTTTTTTTGTCCAGTGCTCCAGATAGATGAATGGCTTAGCTGGGGATGTAAAGCTTCAAGTTATGGAAATGATCAAACCTTTGTACCTTTTTTTTTTTTTTTTTTGCTGTTAGTTATAATGTGTCTGCTGATAAATTCAATTTTTCATATATTCTTGTTTAAGTACAGTATTGTTGTGGTTACCTAGTGCCACTCTGACAAGAAATATACCACAAATGGGATGGTCTTAACAAACAGGAATTTATTCTCTCACAGTTTGGAGGCTTTAAGTCCAAGTTCATAGTGCGAGGCTCTAGGAGCTGGGTGAAAGCCCCTCAACCTTGGGGTCAGCTCTGCCTCCTGCTCCCAGCCCACTGGAGCTAGAGGCATTTCTTCACACAGACAGCTGCTGGCTGCTGAGGCTGAGAAGCCCCAGGGTTGACAAGTAAAAAGGCACAGTCCCGATGTTACCAAACAACACGGCAGGCCATTAACTTAAGTCCATTGTAAGTCCCAAGGTTGGCAGAGCATAGCAGGCTGCTGAGCAAGGACATGGCTACATGCAGGGTCCAAGCATGCCATAGGCTAGAGACCATTCCCAAAACTGCTTCTTATATACGGGAAGCAAGCCACATACCCAAAGGCAGCTACTCAGCCGCTTGTGGTAGATCCCACCATGGAGGTGATTTTTAGTCTCATCACTACCACCAGCTGCCCAGCCACTCAACCAGGCCCAGCCAAGTTGAGACACAAACATAACCACCACAATTCCACCCCTTGTCAACTTGGCACCTGTACAGATCTTCAATGGGTGTTATCTATACAGGTCTCCTCCACTAGGTGGCTCTAGTCTCCTAGTTCCTGAGTGGTGGCCTCATCCCCTTGGCCTGGTGGGCCCTGTTCCTCTCCCTTTTGGGCATGGCAGCCCTGCTCCTCACTCTTGGGCAGTGGCTATGGCTCCATCCCACTGGCTCACATGAATGAGCAGCCTCACAGTCCAGAACCAAGTTGATGAAGGTCTGGCTCTTTGAAACCTAGGGGGCTGTGGTCGTTCCACCCCTAAAGGCCATGGTCCTACCCTTTCAGGCTGAGGCAGCTCTGCTTCCATTTCCTTGGTCTCTCTGCTTCTGCTGATTAATGTCGAAGGCAACCCACTCCGCAGGAAATCTTCTTGCCCTAAAAGCACTCAGTTCTCTTGCTCCATGAGCTGGCCAACCTGCATTTTATGCAACTCCATTTTATACTGGTCTTCTCTACCAATTAACATCTGAAGGCAATCCACTCCTCCAATAAACGACCTAACCAAAGGCATCAAGCTTTCTCCTCCGTGGGATGGTAAAACTGTCATTGTCTCATGCTGGTTCTCTCGGCTCTGCTACTGCCGTATCTCATGCTGGTCTCTGGGTTCTGTTCCTGCCATCTCTCATGCTGGTCTCTTGTGCTGCTCCTGCCGTCTCTCATGCCGTATGCTGGGGTCTCTCTGCCAGGGTCTCAGGTCAAGGAAGCACTCCACTCCTGTTTCCACATTTTAGGCATCTGTCAGAGCTTGCACCCACTCTCTCGGTACCATATTCTGTCCTGGCTAACTAGTGCCACTCTGACAACAAATATATTACAGATGGGATAGCCTTAGGAAACAGGAGTTTATTCTCTCACAGGTTGGAGGCTTTAAGTCCAAGTTCAGAGTGCCAGGCTCTAGGAGCTGGGTGAAAGCCCCTCAACCTTGGGGTCCAGCTCTGCCTCCTGCTCCCGGCCCACTGGAGCTAGAGGCGTTTTTTCACTCAGACAGTTGCTGGCTGCTGAGGCTGAGAATCCCCAAGCTTGACAAGTAAAAAGGCACAGTCCTGATGTAACCAAACCACACGGCAGGCTATTAACTTAAGTCCATTTTAAGTCCCAAGGGCGGCAGAGCATAGCAGGCTGTTGAGCAACGACATGGTTACATGAAGGGTTCAAGCATGCCATAGGCTAGAGACTATTCCCAAAGCTGCTGCTTACATATGAGAAGCAGATTACATCCCACAGGCAGCTACTCAGCTGCTTGTGGTATATCCCACCATGGAGTTGATTACCAGTCTCATCATGGGAAATAACTACCACCTGCTGCCCAGCCACTCAACCAGGCCCAGCCAAGTTGACACATAAACATAACCACCACAAGTATGTTATTAAATTTTAAGATAGAAGAA